TCCAAAAGAGTTAGGTGGCCCTTTATGTTTAGATGGTAGGATTGCTTAAAATTTTGGGCATCAGTGGCCAGGCAAGTTGCTGAGAGTGACCTAGGAAGAGTGTGATATGGCCAGGTATTGAAGCCACCTCCTCTGCATCACGTATGAACTCTTCAACTATAGCATCATCTTCCTTCCTAATTTAATGCTTTACCACAGGATTCATCCTACTTTTGTGCATTGACACATTTGCAGATGTCCTCTTTGAAGGCAAGTGTGTGAAGACATTCGGTTGATTAAACAGATGTAGTCTAACTGTATCTGTGTCTGTCCTCAGGTCCGGATATACCCATACTGTTCGTAGATTCCCATGTGTTCCCATGTGGTTTTACATTCTGAAGTTTTTCTGATGGGAAGAGCTTGCAAAGGCTCAGTAACATTAGTATGGGTTTAATTTCTGGTTCTTGTGGCCTGCACAATGAACCAAGAGTGAAGCTTCGTTAGGCTAAGCCCTGTGGATGGAGAGCATCCAAGTCATCACATGTGGATGAGACCAGGAGTCCCTTCTTCATTTTGTAGAACTGGCATGTTTCTTCTTTTTTTTTGCTGGCATCAGCTTTGGGTAAAAGGAGAGTTTGCTTTTCTGAAAAAGGGTGGTTTTAGCAGTGCTGGATTTCTTCTGACATTATTTTCTCCTTTTGAAGTTGCAGGAAAGCCCTTCAGTATCATTTCCTTCTTTTCTCACCGCTGGGTGTTTGGATGGATGGGCTGCCGCTGGTACGGATGGGCTGGCTTCTTCTTCGGCTGTGGGAGCCTTATTACCATGACAGCTGTCAGCCTGGATAGATACCTAAAAATCTGTCATTTGTCTTATGGTACGAAAGAAAAACTATATTCAGTGACACTATATCCTCCCCTTCCTCCCTTCCAAGAAACCCTAGGCTATGAGAGTTGTGAGCAAACAGGGTAAGAAATAAAAAAAGCATTTTCTTCAATTTTCTGTTTCCAAGTAGGGTGAAATAGAAGAAGAATCAACTGTATAGCAGATGCAAATAAAGTAGTGAAGGTTTCCTAAGATCAGAAACAACTATTTTGATAATCTATGCCAGTTTTCTGCATAATATACGTCAGAACTTTGTCAAATGTTTCTGAATCAAAATGAGACCTTCTGTTGGATTAGGTCATGTTATCAAGAAAGTCTCAATTTTAAGATGTGAAGTTATGGTGAGTAAATAGTGCAAGCAGTTGATTAATCCACAGACTAATGTGCAAGAAAAGAACTAGTTCAAATTCATCTTTCTGCTGTGGGATCCTCCTATAGTTTCGTTGCTGAATTGCCTTTACCACCAGTAAAGCTGTGCTCTTAACCTCTTCTTGGATAAATTAAGCATCTTCATTTTTTTATCCTGCCTTTGCAATGCAGGTTTTCTAGACTGAAATTAAGCTCTTCAAAATGGTTTTGATAAATAGAGGAACACACAGATAAAAGAAACATATTTTCATCATCCAAGTAAGCTCAGCTAAATTTGTAGAGCTGGTCATATCCCCTTCAGAGTTGTCCCTCTATTGTCAGTTAAATAATGGATTTTAGTAATTGCTCAATCACTTTGTGCCAATCAAGTCTGTTGAATTTAGCAGAATCAATCACTGCACATCCTTCAGAGTCTTAAGGGCTGACACAAAACAGTATTTCTCTCTAGGCACCTAAATTCCTTCGAGATATGTGGCAGAGTGTTTAAAGCATCTACAAGATTCAGACATGCAGTAGTACATAATAAATGTGAAATTGTCTCTCTAATATAGAGATGGATATTGAGAAGATGAAATGAATTTAGCAATGAAAGCTGTTGTTACTATATCCATTAATATCATAGATTTCTTTTTGAATATGAAGTATTATGTGGTTTATTCTTTCGAGCTGAAGAATTTTGATCCAGTTTGGAAAGATTTTTCTTTTTTTTTTTTTGCATTGGAAGGCACCCCAACAAATTAAGGGAATACTTAAAGACTTTTTGTATGAGAAGCATGCATATGAGAAGCATGTGGTGGAGAGACATGCAGTGAGTCCCTTTGAAATGACATGAATGTCAGTCATAGAATTTTAAAATTTAAAAATATTTCCAACCAGGAAGTGTAAGTTGATCTGTACAACAGCTGACTGTTATGTCAATTAAAAGTAATTACCGCCCTGAGATGTCCTAGATCTTAGAATGTCTGTGTGTTTTTTTTCCTTAAATGTGAGTGCAGGAAGCATCTCATTCATTGAGTTTTACATATATAATTCATATTTAGCAGAATTTCAGTTCTGTGTGTAAGGATATTAGCATAGTTTACTGAGGACAGATTTAGGTATCTAATATGGCATCCGAATTCAAGAGAGACAGAACACCAAAACCCTTTTTGTCCAGTGCTATCTGATTGTGGTTGTCCAAACACAACGATGGAGAGCAGTAAAAAAATAAGAATCACATTCTTTCTATGCAATTAATGTAACCATTTTCTGTATAAGGACTTTTGTTCCTGAGATCTAGAATTTGATTTTCCTCTGTCATTCTTCCATTTTAAGATTTCAGAATAGCTGTGAAAATAATGCCAATGTTTAGGACTTCATGCTGCTGTTTCTGTAGCTTTGCCACCTGCATACAACAAACCTCCCTCCTGCCTCTCAGGCTTTGTGCTCGAATACTTCCATGCTCATTGCCCTTCTAGCGACCTGGAAAGACAAATTCAGCTGGAGAAGTGGCACTGCTTGCATTCCAATTGAAGTTGTTTTGCTTTGGTTTTATTTTAAGTTGTTCTCAAACTCTCAAGAAAGCCACCCAGCAGAAACTGCTTTAGTTTTTATGTCAGTAGCTGGGGAATGAAGATAGATTAGACCTTTTAAGGCAAAAGGAGCTATTATAACACTTTAGTCTGACTTTCCACATAAGTCATAAAATGTCACTTGGTAATTCCTAGATGAATCAACAGTGTCCTCCAAGACAGGGCCTATAGCCTATGCTGTATTTGAGCAGTATTCCAGAGAGTGGGAAAGCTTTTGAGGTCACAGAGCTTAATACATACAATAATCAATGTTTGCTACTTCTATGCTATGATCTACTTACAAATCACGGAGACATGTACGTAAATAAGTACAATGCTTAATCTTGCAGATGAAAGATAAGAGAGGAATGACAAGGCAAAAATAAACCTGTGTGTTATTTCCTCTGTACAGTCTTGCCTTTCAATTTCATGGGTTAATGATTTACGTTGAGAAATGCCTTGAGATCAAACTTCAGCCAGTTAACAAATAATGGCATAGGAAATCAGGAATAGGAAATTATGTAAGTTGCATCATACAGTGCCAGCTTGCAAGTCATTATACTGAGCAACAAAAGGGATGAATAAAAAGCTTAGTAATGGATGTGGGTCACATCTCCATGTCTGCTAGCCAACATGTTATGAATATGCCTTTATAGAACACAAAGCAGTTTTGAAAACTGCTAGGCGTGGTACCTGTGACTATATCTGAGCTATCTGTCTGGATTGCATCTTTAGAACTATTTTAGGTTGTAATTAATCACAACTTAAAGTAGGGGTCCAAAATACATAAGGTGGAACCCTCCCTACAGGTGTCCATTTCTTTCCATTAGGTATGAAGGGAGCCTAGCTCAGGTGTGGCTATAGATATTTAGAAGAAGATGAGATGAACCCTACAGTGGTCATCTAACAAGCTTTCATTACGTGTATAGAAGACAAGTTAGTGTCAAATGTGCACGAACACAATGGCCATGGAGTTGTAACTCTTGAATTATCTTTCAGGTACCTGGCTTAAGAGACACCATGCCTTTATCTGTCTGGCAATAATCTGGGCCTACGCTACATTCTGGGCTACGGTGCCTTTTGCTGGTGTGGGGAACTACGCTCCTGAGCCTTTTGGGACGTCCTGCACTCTGGACTGGTGGCTAGCGCAGGCATCAGTGGCTGGACAGGCTTTTATTCTGAGTATTCTTTTCTTTTGCCTCCTGTTCCCAACTGCAGTGATTGTGTTTTCCTATGTCAAAATAATTTTAAAAGTCAAATCATCCACCAAAGAGGTTGCTCACTATGATACCAGGATTCAGAACAGCCACATACTTGAAATGAAGTTGACCAAGGTAAGTAGGAAAAATTAACTCACTTTGTTTCATCAGAGCCTAAAAGAAGCCTTGGAAAAATTCAATAATATCTAGTTTCAAGTATAGCAGTGCTTTACTATGTCTCCTTTGTTGAGTGAGAATACAATGCTCTAAAAGTGAATGTTCTAGCTCTCTTCTCCAGTGTTGTTAAGGTGGGATAGGAAGGAAGTTCTTATATAATTTTGAGATTCGCGCACTAATATCCCTGAGATGGTGATTCAGCCTGAAGCTCTGTCATAAACTTTCTGCGTGATCTTATAGAAGTCATATCATCTCTCTGTGGCTGTGTTTCTCATCATAAAATAGAAACAGTCGTAAACAGTTATTTTAAGGTATTTGAGACAAGAGCAAATACATTCAGGCAGCTTAGAGCTCTCTATTAATGAACATATAAACAAAAGGCACTCTTGTGATACTGCAATTTCTTCTTACGCAAATCATTTATCATTTAGGTTCAGTCAGGTGCTTCTGATAAAAATGCACACAAGTGATAATTGTTCTCCTTCTCAGACCATGCCTTATTTTCTCTTTCTAATTTAATCTCTTTTTCAATTTGGCAATGGTGACAGCCATGATCCTTGCTAATACTAGTTATTGTGCCAGGAAATTGCTCAAAATAAAGGCTTGCAATAAGCAAAATGAAATTTCCTAGATGTAAAAAATCACTAGCCTCTGTGAACCAGGTCAGGAGGAAGGCAAGCAAGCAACATGCGTTGATTGCTTGACTGAACATTCACTTTACTGCATTTTTGGGAGTGAAAGTGAAATTTATATGACATACAACAGTGTCATTGTGCCAGAACACAGCTTGGAAGACAGTTTGCCATCAGTATGGTTAATGCTGCCATTACAGTTGATAAAGATATACTACTAGTGTTGGGATAAGCTAGCAAATGAATGTCTTTCATAATCCATTCAACTGCACAGCAAAATTTCTAAAAAAGGCTATATACACTGAATGTTAAGTGACGAACAAGAAAAAGCACAAAAGCATAAAGATTCCCCCTCAGTAATGTTGCCATTAATATGTGGGAGTAAAGAGCAATAAAAATGCAATATCCAAATTTTTGCTTGCCGTGATTTGTGTTGCACACCTGCTAATTGTTTCATTCCAAATGACTACATGTGTACTAATATCAATCAGGATGCTGGATAATAGTGGTATGATGGAAAATGCTCTTCAGTATGTGTTATTACATTATGTGATTTGAAGCTATGTCATGCTGACTGACTGCAGACAGGCTGCTTCAGATAAAGTAAATGAATCACAAATTTTTCCTCAAAACTTATTTTTATTTAATATTTAAATTAAATATTTCCATGACTACATTTCTTGACATTATAAGGAAGTGTGTTTCTCATTTACTGCAGCTCGAATGTTCTATAGATATTTGTTTTTCAAAGCATCTATGTATTCTAACGAAATATGAAATCCATAGTTGGGTTTGGCAAAAGAAATTTAGATAGTGTAATAGAGATGTCACTTTCAATTAAATTCCCATTAAATTCAATTCTGGCTTGTAAATACACTAATTTCTGTCTATTGTAGTGGGTATTCCCAGAGGCTTAACAGTCTCTTAAATGCCTTCACACTTACCTTTTCCACGTAGAAAAGAATTCAAATTGTTGCTGTTTTATCCCCTGGAAGATAGACCACAGATCCCACCCAGGTGGAGGTGGAAGACAAACCAGATTTGTCAAAGCTCTTCTTCCTCATCTTACTTCTTCCCTGTCTCCCATCAGGACAGGTTATTTGTTGCATCAGCTTTTGACGTCTTTGTGCATCAGCCTACAAGTAGAGAAGAAGCCATGTGTTAGATCAGGGCACTGCAGTTTCTTTTTCCTTCAGTTCCTAGTTTCCTTTGCTCCTGCATCAGTTCCTGCTAGTGAGTGATAGAGAAGAAAAAGCTACAACAGATAGAGACAGGAGGATCCCTTTCTAAACCAGCTCACGTACAGAAACACTCAGGATACCAAATACCACCAGGACCTGTGATTCTCTGACCCAATTTAGTCCTGGAAGCTTCTTAAAAGACTTTGGTTTTATAATGTTTAGGGTTTGATTTCAAAGGACATGGAATTTGGAAGACTTACCCTTGATTCATTCTTTTAATGCTTTATTTTCCTGGTGCATGCCAGTTTCATCTTGAAATGAGAAAAAGAGCCTGACTTTGGATTGTTCTAAGGGGTATTTGATTGGAAGAGGATAGCATCCTCCAATAATAGAAATAAGGGACTCGAATAATTTTCCAAAAAGAAAACCTCTACAGAAAATGTTTCTGGTTTAACCAGCATTCATTTCAAACTATTTCAGATCTTTCTAATCCAGAAATTTCACATTCTTATGCTAAATTTTCTAAAAAAAGAGACTCTGTATTCTTTAATAGATTCTTAAATAATTTAAATTTAATATCAAATAATTATTTTCTGTGATCTCATTATTTTCCCCGTGTTTAGGCCGACCTTGTGGCATTTTAAAAGGTCTACTTTAATAGAATGGGTAGCTGTTCTGAGACAAGTCAGAGGAAAACAGGAGCTAAATAAAAAGAAGTAACATGCATGACAGGTTTTGTTACGCTGTAAATTTACCTGAAGCGGGTTGTAATTTTTCCATTCTATGGCACATTCCTCAGCCTTCAGCTGTGCACTTCTGTGTGCTGTGCTGCCAGCAAGGACAATTCTGCTCAATTAATTCGTGTCTCTCTTCTCTGCTTTCCTCACAAGGTGGCAATGTTGATCTGTGCAGGATTCCTCATCGCCTGGATCCCTTACGCTGTGGTGTCTGTGTGGTCGGCGTTTGGGCAGCCAGATTCGGTTCCCATTCAGTTTTCGGTGGTACCGACTCTGCTTGCAAAGTCAGCAGCCATGTACAACCCAATTATCTACCAGGTCATTGATTGTAAGTTTGCCTGTTGCCGGTCAGGTGGACTGAAGACACTGAGGAGGAAGAGTTCTTTGAATAAATCCAGGTAATATGTTTCTTTGGGTAGTAGTATGTCTTTAAGCACATTATGCTCTAGACAGCTATTCTAAATGCTACCCCAAATAAGATCTGCAAAGAGTCATGGCTGTTCTGATCTTTCTTCATTTTTTTGACCATGATCTATGCAGTGTCTTTCTTGCCATGAAGCAGGAGAACAGGGTGACAAGAATAATAATTTTAGAGGGTTTGTTTAGGCAAGTGCAGCCTCACTGGCAGAAAAAAAAAGCCCACATTTTAAAAACAGGGTTCAGGATCAGGATAATATATTAATATTTAAAACACCTAATTAAAATCTGTATATAATGTGCAGAAATGGCGAGGAGTGATATGTCCCTTCCTGGCTGTTTGGACCTTCTTCCACCATAGAGTGAGAACCTGCTATTCCACCTGCAGTCTGTCTATGATCCCTTTTTATCTCCACCCTCAAAAGTAGGAGATCTAACTCTGGTTCCACCAATATGTGCCTTCAATTTGACTTTTGGGAAATGGAAAACAAGGACTTTCAGTTTGATTTCTGGAATCCATAGGAAACCTCAGTAATTTACATGTGCCCTCTGTACTGATGCTGTTATAGTCCCCAGCATCTCCACAGGCTTCATCCACATGTATGGAGACATCTAGGTTGTGCAATGGCTGGATTTGTGTTTAACTCTCCTGTTAGCGCTCTAGCTG